ACAATTGCTATCTTTCCAAGGAAGCCATCTATATGACATAATATAATCTTAAAACGTGCCGCTGTGTCACATCTGGCTCGAGTATTCGAGAACAGATCTATTAAAGGCTGATCTCCAGACTGAGAAAAAACCAGGAGATGAAGTGGAAAAATTAGATCACAAATCAGCGTGCGTTCTGTAAGCAATGGCCTGAAAATCTGCATTAAGGTGAAAAATTTCTCTAAAACTGCTTCATTCACTGGCCCCAGGTTGAAATATACCATGAAAACACTTCGTAAGCGTTGAGCTACTAACGATGAGAAATCTATAATTTCTAAGAGTCAGAAACATATGTAACTGTAAGCGTAAGACTCCATTAACTAAGATGATAAAGCAATAAAATTCTTTCTTAGCATCATTTAGCAATGATAGACATTTTCTGACATGTTCGGCTGTCAGTCGTCTATATAGCATTAAAGGTTGAAAGGGAAATTAAAATCTCATAGAAATTGCGTTCGAAATAGCCCATTATTCTTCTTCATTAAGTTAACTCTACTAAAATAAATTCAAACCCTAGTACCTGCACGCAAGAGAACTCGTACACCAGTCGAAAAGTGGTCACAGATGCACCAAATTTAAAGCGTGAAAATGAAAGAACTCATGAATTCATATCTAATAACTGTGAAATAAAGAGAGGAAGGTAATTAAATATCATGGAGGATCAACACTGACGTTGAAAACGACTTTTTCACATGTTAGTTAAATAATACTAATTAACCTAAAAGAAGATGACCACGTCAATCCCAAAGTAAAAAAGTTCACCATTCCACCCGGGATCAAACACAGCTTCATGTCTTCAACCAAAGGAGAGAGTTTTACATCTCCCGGTTTCCAACGAGACTAATCCTGCATTTAGGGAACTAATGATCACGGGCAGCTCAATGAATTCCACTGCTTGTAAAGGATCACAGTTAGTACAACCAGCAATAACTCGTAAAAAAATATACGATTGGTACCAATACGAGTAACGAGCTCAAGTGGTCGCTAACTGCTAAGAATTCGCTTGACCACACCAACAAAAAATACTTTCTCCACTTTCAGATAAGTAGTAGCAGAAATATTAAATAAATGCTCAGCATAAATCATACAATCACATAATTAGCGGGCCTTCGCTTGAAATAAAAACAGATTCTCTTATATCTGTACAAACCAGGGTGAAACCGCTTTCAGCAAGAAAATCAACTGCCAAGATACTATCGTGATAAGGTGCTGTAAGTCGCATATATATCCAGTTTTTAGTGCAGAAATAAACTACACAGTGTATGCCCTAACAAAAAAGACTATTTCACAGTTCTTTATAGATGGACTATATCTAAGAACTTTAAGCATCATTTTTATTTAACAGCGCCGAAGAACTAAAAACAATCAAGTAACTGCGATTATATATCAAAGCTATGAAGCGGAGGAGAACGGAATAATAGAATAACTAACGATACCTGAACATGGACGTTGTTCTGCTCTTTTAATGTCTTTAACTTTATTTGAACTTGAGTAAAGAAGTTAGCCTGCTCGAGAACATCCTTCAATGCTGTCTCTATCATCTTAACGTCTTCATGGACAGAATACAGCTGACTCAATCCATTTCTAACTCCTTCAAGCTGTGACTGAACCGTTGTTTTCAGCATGGCTTCTACCGCAGCCTGTGCAAAAGCAAAAGATAAAAACAGTGAAAAACACTGCAATATTACCCTCTTCCTGACAGCCAACTGCTGGTACTGTTCCAGCTTCTGGAGCTGATCCGACCGTCTCAACATCGCAGCTACCTGGCTCGATGCCGCTGCAAAGGCTTCCTCGTCTAATCGCGATATATCCATCCTTAATAGACAATGCTAGTTCAAACCGTATCCAGTGAACTTCTCAAAATGTTAACTAAGTATGATACTGTTGTAGTGAGCGAACAGCTTCAATGAATGGAAAATTTCATCTTACACCACTACAGCTGTGACCAAATTTGGACACTGGCAATCGAAAACAACATTAATGGCCCCCTTTGTGTTTGAATATATTGCCGAAGCCTCTACTTCCATAATAAATGCCTCCTGATCATATAGTCATAATCTAGAGTGAAACTAATATTTTCACTTGATTTTAATACAGCAATTGCCAAAAGCAAAATCGTTTAGGGTAAATTGGTTGCTAAAAAGTATGACTATGACTTAATCATTCCCCAAAAGAAGCAATTTTACTAGATTAATTCACAAGTAAATTCAGTTCAGACTAAAAGTCGCTCATCGAACTGCAAGAATTCTTAGTGAGAAAGTCTTTACTGACTTGAACAACTCAAAGTGCGTCTTTGATTGCAAAAACGAAAAACTGCAGTAAAAAATGATACGCCACAAAGCTATATGCTGCCATCAACTCGCAACCTTTCATCATCATTTATTTAAAAGAAGCATTGCACCTATCACTCTCATCAACAAGCTTACAGCTATACCACCAACAGAAGTTATCACCGCAACTTAACCTTATTTCCACTATCATTATATGCGCCGTCTAATCGGCACTGGGGTGCTGTGCAACGAACATTGTCCCCTGGTGATGGCAGCGCCAGCATATTCCAAAACTGATAGGAGTGCTCGACAAACCGTTTAGTCCATCCAACCAGCAGTTTGTCTCTGGGTCACCACCAGCAACGGAAAGGCACAGCTACACTGTGAATGCTTACAGCCGCCACGAAACATGAGAGGGACTTCTGTTGGGAGAGTCGCAACAAGGCCAAATGGGTAATTTGAGACCACCGCTTATTTCACTGATAAACGCAGCCACTGAATTCATCGCCGGCAATCGCGTTTTTGAAAAAACCCTACAATATGGCACTGGGGAAACTTCTTTGACTGATTATGTAGAAGACGCCAAGCCGATGAAATCCATCTTTTACAACACCAAGGTCTCTGCTCAAAGCAATGGTACAGAGAAAGAAAAATGTGTAGAGCAGTATTTTGGAATCGTACGACTAAGTGATGCTAGATAATAAATGCAACAATATAACACCGTTGCCGGTGCAATCCTGGTTAAGAAACGAGGAAGGTTAAAGACTGTGGCGAAGTCTAAATAAAACTAAGTCACTGCCGTTCACAGCTATGACATCGCCCGCGTTACATAGGGCCGCGAAACCTGTTGGGGGGCTGAGGCAGGTTGTAAAAAATCGGCAGTCAGAACCTGATCATCGCCTTCTGGCAGCCGGGGCCGTAGAGCAGCACAACAACGGCTGACGAAGATCGACAAAACGACGAAGCAGATTCAAACAAGCAACGGAGTCTCCACTCGTTCTGAAGGGAGGAGGCAGACACCTGAATGTCATTATAGCAGGTCAGAAAGGGCTCCACCAGGAAAACACCGCCAGTGGGAGCTTAGAGTTGAACATTAGAACATGTGCTAAGTCAGAAGGAAAAAGCAGAAGATAGTTGATGAGGCCGAAAGATCCAACTCAGCATAACTGGAGACTCGTCAACGAAGAGCCAAGGATCTGGAATCTTGAAACTCTGCAGGTGGAAGTTACCCAATGCAGGTGTCGATATCACGACGAGCGGTCAGGCCGGTGTTAGTGTTCTGGTAAAAACCAGCCTGGCTGATACAACCACTGAAGGGATACATATCAACGGAAAGGTGGCAATCCTTCGACTCACACTACAACAGGCTAAACCGTTGACTTTGTTACATGCCTATGGACCAATTTATAGGGAGAATACGAAACCTTTAATACTTTGTACTCTGTACGACGTGTAATCACTTTCATGGGCGATTTTAATGCGCATGGCTGGATTGACACTAAAAAAAGGAACGGCGTGATCGGAAAAAACGGCCCTAGCGACCTCAACAATAACGGTAAGAAGTTATTGCAGATTTCTGTAAACAACGGACTTCGAGCATCGAAGATCGTATCAGTATATCTGGCATAGGGAAGCTGTGCACAGAACGTCCACGATCGATTTGTAATCGTATTATCTGACTTACGACGCTCTTTAATCGTGTTCGCGATAAAAGAGGTGCAGAGCCGTCAACCGACCACCACCCTGTTGTTGGCACCCTATGCCTGCAGAAATGGAGTATCATGTGAAGATCTGTGGCAGAAGCAACCAGAGAATCAAATGGAAAACATTATCTTCAGTGGATATGAGCGAAATTTGCAAACAACATCGCACGATGGTTTGAACAGATCCTGGTGATGATCACTGATGTGCAAATCGAGTGGCAGCTCCTTAACAGCGGCATATTCGATGCTGCCGCCAAATGCTGCAGATTCACGAGTTGGCCTGTCGCCTGGAGGTCATTTTAAAACTTCCCAGTAGATATGAAATGTACAACTGGCAGTTAAAGAGAAGAAGGCTGCATTCAAGAAATGGCTTCGAAGCAAAGAGCATTCTTCTCGCATGCGATATGACGAAGCACGCAAGGCGGCAGCGAAAGCAGTGACGAAAGCCAAAGCTGATTGCTGGGAGAAGTTCAGTGAGGTGTTGGAGTCGAATTTCCATATGGCAAACAAGATATTCTGGCAGACAATTCACCAGCTACGACGTAAAAAGAATCGCAGTTTAAGTCTTGAAGGATAGGTCTGGACATCCTCTCGCCGAGGATAAGGACATCCTTCGGTGACGGCTAGAGTAATTTGAAGAACTTAACCCCCAAGTAACGACAGGAAGACTCGACTAGGGAAGTGGTATTACTATTTTAACTAGGAAGCAGCAGGGAAGTGATATTACTATTTCTGGAGACGAAATTACACAAGCTGTGAAAAGCTTGAAAAATGGAAAGTCTGCTGTAATTGACGAAATCCGCCCTGAAATGCTCAAAACATTAGGCGAACAAGACATGTGTCATTCACACTGCAGTGACTACGCGAAGACTATAGTAGACTTGCTTGAAAACAGCAGTTGTTGTACCCCTGTTCAAGAAGGGAGGAGACCACAGGTAGTGTTTGAATTACTGTTACTGTTACATTATTTTATTGAGTCTACCGGGTAAAGTCTACCTAAAGGTGGCAGAAATGAGGTGCCGCGGAATAACTGACTCCAAGATACAAGAAGAGCAGTGTGGCATTTGGCGCGGTCGAAACACTTCTGACCATATATTTGTCCCACGTCAGACTGTTGAGAAATCGTGGGAGTTCGCCCATCCGGTTTGCATGTGCTTTGCTGATCTAAAAAAAGCCTATCACCGAATCCTGCGCAACAGTCTGTGGATATGCCTGAGAACGAACGCAATCGATGGTTTGATGCTATGGCCCATTCACTCATTATATTCGGATAGCAGGCGCTGTGTCAAAATGGCGTTAAGTCGAAGCCCTTCAGTGGTGGCACTGGCTGTGTTTTGTCATCTCTATTGTTTGCGTTGAACATGGGGGAATAAACAGGCGCAGCCAGAGCAATGAGACTATCAGCGAAGGAGATGTCGATACGAAAAGGTTGCTATTTGCAGACGACCTTGATTCATTAGCATCTTCTAAAACTGATCTACAGCACTTCAGGTTCTGCATCCAAGCGCAACGATGCCGGCATGAGTGTGAACACAACTAAACAAAAAGCCTTGTGACTTTTCATTCTCCTGCCCACTGCCATCTTTAGAAAAACGGGCATGCAATGGAACAGGTAAAGAAGTTCAAGTGCCTCGTAGTTTTGCTTACTGATGATGCAAAATATGAGGAAGAGATGGACCGGCGAATTGTAGTAACCAGTGACGTTCTGCATGAACTAGCCCAATCCACCGTGATTAAAGCAGGGCACAGCCTGAAAACTATGGTCTCGGTGTTTAAGTCGATCTTAATCCCCATGCTTGCCTACGGTCATGAATCGTGGACCATCAGTGAAAAACTTCGAACACGGGTAGAAGGTGCTGAAATGGGCTTTCTTAGACGAGTTGCTGGCCTAACGCGTCTCAATATGGTCTGGAATACTGACATCCGGGAGAGCTTTGATACATAGCCTCTGCTTATCCAGAAGGGAAGGCTAAACAATTGTTTCTTGCTAAACCGACCCGAAGAAGGCCCAGGGAACGGCCAAGATTAACCTGGTGCAAATATAAGAAATGAGTCTGTTCCAGATTCCAGTTACTTTGTGCCAAAGTTCAGACTCTGGCACAGGATCGCGAACGTTGGAATCACTGTCTGACACGTCTACCCCGTCCATGACCCGAAAGGAAGCGATCATGGAGGATGATGACGAAATATCACCTAAAGACAAAGCTAAGGGCCCGAGAAAATATTAGATGTCGCGCTTGCATCACAGTAAAGAGTTCCTGAGGTAGGCGAAAGTTTCAAAGTTCCAGCTGTCTGACCAAGTTCACTGACATAGAGACGCTACGTTTACTGCAGGATTCTATGCTGTCCTGTTCTGCCAGATAATCGTTAGGTCCAGTTTAATGTATGCTTCATGACTTTGAAGACTTAGAAAATGACCG